TCTGTTGGCCCTTCAGAAAGGCCCATGATGCCCCAGCTGTCGAGAGCACGATGGGTAAGCAAAGAGGAGAAATGCAATGTACCTGTACTCACACTTGTGCAAATGGCAAATAAAAGATTTATTATTTGTGTTACATCATTAGTTTGTTTAGTGGCAGAGGCTAATTTCTGCACTCAAGCGCTATTTTCTTATATTAGTAATAATTTGTTTAGTCACTCAGTGCTTTGATGAGAGTCCATTTCCATTTTATTGTTAATATTTTAGGTTGTTTCACTGTGTAGGCCAAGCTGTGCAATGAGTGAATTTTCTGCTCTGTTGTTGTTGACTTGCGCAGACCTAGTGCTGTGACGAGACGGTGTTTTAATTATTAGCCGTTTGGATTCTTTTCTTATGGTGGCTGAGCTCTGTGAGAAGATTGTATTTTTGTTGCATTGCTAACAGTTTGTTTTTTTTCTCAGTTGTGAAGGCCAAGCCGTCATGGAACAATACAGCAGTTATAATCTTAATAGCTTAGATTTTTGATGTGTTGGCTGAGTCTTGAGAAAGTTTGATTTATGGACAGATGTATGTCAGACCACCTGATTATTGACCTGGAGATATGAGATTTATTTAACAGCACTGGCACGACCAGTCAGGGAGTTTCTCAAAAATGCTACTTTGCTTCTTGATCAGGACCTTTATCGAGTGCAACTTCAAATTTGCTCTATTAATGCAGCACATTATTTGAATGAAGCGGTTTAGCGACTCCTTTCAAGGGGACGTTTGAAGGGAACTTCCACTGACAAGAGCCAAAGAAAGACCATCTAGCAGACAAGTCACTGGCTCCCAGAACAGCGCTTCCTCTTAACACTGAATGGAGCTTCGCTGACTGGCTAGTGTTCGCTGGAACAATGAATCGCTGGGACATTGTGCAGCCAATAACCAGTGGGTGATGAATACATAAGTTGGTAACGGCTCTAAGGCCTATAGAACCTTTTAAAGCAGCCGATAGTAAGAAAACAATTACGTTTCATTTACATATTACATATTTAGCAGATGCTTCTGTCCAGAGTGATGCCTGTTGGGCCAAACAACATGTTACATTCTGTTAAGTCAGCCAGGCCGAGCTGCAGCTAGGCTGGGCTTCTAGAGCAAGGCCTCAGAACGAATATAACATTCTCAGTCAAATTACTGCAGAAGTTTGCTATGCTATAATTTCAGAAACCTTTATGTAATTCAATGCTGCCATGTACAGTGGATATTGCTCAGGAAACTGCAATGTGATTTGTTTGCTGTCTCTCTCCTCGGAATCTGGAGCTCCATCCTCTACAGTTACAGTATATTCAGGATTTCACCAGATCTTGGGTTTCATCAAATTTCGAGTTGGGGTTGAAATCCCACTTGCACTGCTGTTTAAATGGGTTTTACACATGCGATTCAGTGAATTATTAGCACCGTTGTGTGTGTGTGTGTGTGTGCGTGTCCTGCACATGCGTGTGTGTGTCCTGTATGTGCACGTGTGTGCCCTGTGTGAGTGTGCATATATATACGTGTGCATGTGTGCCCTCCATCTGTGTGTGTGTGCCTTGCATGTATGCTTGTGTGCCCTGCACATGCTTGTGTGCGTGCGTGTCATACATGTACGTGTTTGTGCCATGCTTGTGCATGCGTGTCCCCTGTATATACATTCCTGTGCTCTGCGTGTGTGCCCAGCATCTGCATGTGTGTGTGTGCTCTGTACATGTGTGTGTGCCCAGCATCTGCATGTGTGTCTCCCGAATCTGCTGAGGTCCCCTTCGGGTTTCCGCCCTGCCTGCACTGAGGTCCCCTTTTGGGTATAAGGTCAGGTACCCTGAAGCCCGTGTGACACTGTTCTTCAAGTGCAAGAGTGGGGGGGGGGGGTATTTTCCTGTTGCATTTATCTTCGGTTCTTCAGTTGAAGTTTTTTTTATTGTATTACCATTTTCTCATAATTTATAATCTGAAGACCTACGACTGCCCAGGTACCGTAGCCCTAACTACAGTAGATAACTGAAAAGCCAATTAGGTAGTAATGAGCACCTCATAGAATGGTGCGATGGGATCCAGTATATTTAAATGAATGCCACCCCCTTTATACCAGCGTGATTTATGCAAATTTAGTGCTGTAATTTTGTGAATGTAAGTATGGAGTCTAATAAGATTATGAAAGAATGCGTTCATTATTTCTTCACTGATGATGTCATCATTTAGCCTCAAGCATTTATCGTGTTCAGTTTTTGTTTTGTTGGTCAGCTGGCTACTGTTTCTCATTATTTACTGTTTCTTCAACATTTTCACTTAGTATCTGGCTACAGTATTGGGATGTAATTATGTACTGCATTAATTTGTTTGTTTATTTTTCAGTCTAATATCTGGAAATGCAAGTGCATTGGATGTTTACAATAAAATAGAATTAAACACAAACAAAGCAGCTGCTACATGACAGATCTGGCCACAGAAGAATTTTGTAAGCTTGATCCCTAGTCCGTCTTGTTAATCATCTTAATCCGTACAACCATCAATGTACTAGTATAGGTTAGCATTGTCTGTACTGTGCCGTTTCCATAACAACGACTGACAATATCAATCCTAAAAGCCTAATTCATTCCCAAACAGAGGTACCAGGATGTAACCTTGTAAAAATCCTGCTCGCAGAGCCGCAGTGTGTTGAGGTCAGTGAATCATCTTGTGCTGCTGCACTTCTGCTTGTGCCTTAAAGCCAAAAGGCTGCGTGTCCCTCTTCAACACCAAGACCAGCTCCTTAGCAGTTGTGTTAGACGCGGCCCAGGGGAGATGCCACCAGTTTGTATAAACGTATTTAAAAATGAGGCATTTACTGAAACAAGCATAAATAACAGTTATAAGTGAGAGATTGTGGCATTGCATTTAATCAACCATGAGCATAATAAGCACAATGACCATCTACCCCCCACGCTACTCTGTGTGATTTTATATTTAAAGAACTTCAGTAATATTTGTTTGTAATAATTACTGATATAGCTAATTGTACTACCCATTTTTAATTAGTAAAGCACATTTACAAAGCAAATACATTGAATATGTAAAACATTCTTTTAAGAAGATTTTCTTCAGCCTCTTGTATAAAAGTAATTTGTATATGTGTAGCTTCATTTTAATATGTCTCCTCCGTCACTGAAGACAATTTAACTGGATTTCAATATTAACCGTGGACAAGACAGTGCAGTCCTGATGGATCTTCTGCCTTCCTTGTGTCACTGTTGCAACCTGTGATGTTAAGCACCTGTATCAGGGACTACCTGCCCATCTCTGGCTTCAGCAATACAGGCTGGTGCAAACATAAACACATGACTCAGTACTACCAGAGCTGCCAACGATCATTAGTAATGGGCAGAAGCCAAATCACACGGCGGGAGAGCTTTAGCAACCGTAAGTGGCCAAAACTCATAGAGGGAGACCTTTAGCTACTGTGAGAGGCCAGTCTGCATGCAGGCGGTCTTAGCAAATGGTACAGTAGGAAGGGACAGCACTATTAGCGGAGGGGGGAGGGGGAGGCAACTTGCTTTCTATATTCATTTACAGGTAGTCTAATCATTTTGTGACGTGTGCTTAGTCTTTTTGTGTAAGGTTAGTGCTATTTCTGGTATCCGCACTGTGTGCAGTGCAATTTTTTCTATCCAGTGACTGATAGGGGAATCAAACCCTGTAGTCTCCAGTAAGCGCTTTGCCAAGATTGAGGTGACTGTTTTCATTTTTAATACAAGCAAAGACGGATGTTATCATACTGCATGGCCGAGGCTGTAACACAGGCTGGTCCTGTGGCAGTTTACCTTCAGCTGTCTGAGCATGTCTCATTCACGTTCGGCGATGTGGATTCTTGTTGCCCTATTCCGTTGAGACGGCCCCCTCTGCCACACTCTGTATTGCCGCCCCCCCGTCCCCCAGGAGCCTCCTTCCCTTTAATTATCCCGCCTCCCCCTTGGCTGAGAAGCTGGATTTTTCTCACTCTGGCTTTCATTACACAGACCTCAGAAACACCCTGTTTCTGAACAACAAATAAATACTGACTATTGTACCATCCCTTTTCTTCCTACTCCTGTTTTATTTCTACCCAGAGAAATGACAGTGCCCCCCCCCCCCGTTTCGGTCCACGTCGTATTTGCCTGGGCTCTCAAACAGGCCATGCGCGAGTCAGTCAGTCTCGCCCCACAGGAGTTACCAATAATTCTGACTGCTAATGAAATGCCACGGACCTCGGCTGGCATTGATAGCTATTGAATTCTCAGTTGATCCCACAATCTGTCTGTTTTTGATAGCTGCTTGATTCTGGGCTTTTTCCAAGATTCGTCATTTATTGAATTATGAGCAGATCTTATAAATCATCCCTGGTTATGCTAGGCCTTAATAAAAGCTAATCAGATGTGCTTCCTAGAGTGTAATATCATGCTTCTTCTAAGTCATATATTCTTTGATGACAAAATATGAGTCCACTATTTATTTTTAGAACACTATAGCATAAAATGTTACCTTTGTACCTAAAGTGTGAGGTGCTGATATAAAACACAGATATTTTCCAGATTTAGGTGACTGTCCTTTAACTGTCCATTTTTAACACACACCTTCTCTTGCATAGACTTTTTATATTAATGCACAAAGAGGTCAGACCTTCTGCATGGTGACTAACAGCTATACACATACACACAGGTAGATAATGATGATGATGGACAGTGTGGCCCTGGAATTACACATACAGATTTCTTTGTCTGTGAAAAGTCGTCATCTGAAGAACCATTTGATGACCCTGTTCCCATTTCAGCCAAATGAAAGGGCAGGAAAGGGTGATGATGTCACTGTGTTGTTCTTGAAGAGATTGACTCATTGTTGCTCTGTGATGCTGTTAAGCATGTCTGCCTGTGTTTCATTTGGCCTGTCTTTCTGCATGTAAAAATTTGTAGATTATATCTAGTGTAAATAATGACAGTTTTGTGTGTGATATCAAATATGAGCATCCTCCTGTCTAGTGGGCGGTGTGACAGGCAGCCAGAAGATCGTTCTCCATGAGGAGCTGTAGAAGATGCCAGCTCTGCCAACACTGTGGCTGTCGATTGCCCTGACCTTCGTGCTGCTGAGCATGGCTCCGCCATCGAATGGCCAGCCAGCCTTGGGGCCATCTTCCTTCAGAATGGGTGAGTTATGTCGCTTGCTAACATAAATACATATACACTGTAAACTCTTTGTGCGTTTTCCCTATTGTCCCACGGGTGGCAATTGCTGTGTCCTGAAGGGTTTCTTTCAATTATCACATTTGGTTCATGAGGTGAAGTGATTTTCCAAACACGTGGTGACTTGAACTGCTGTAAACGTTCAAGATTTAGGTGTAGATTAACAATTTGCAATATAAAGAAAGTAAATATTTGAATGTCAGCCCGAAAAGGTTACTTAAAGAAATCTAGGAAAGACATGTCCTACCACCTTGAATAGACAGTATTGGCAAAGGAAAAAGAGGAATGAACATTTTCTCACTGTAATGTATGGTAGTAACAGATTTTATTTGCCTCAGACCGGGACTGCGTGTTGGCTCAGTTGGTAGTGCTATTGGTTCATTCCTCCAGGTCTGAGTTAAGGGAGGTTGTGTTTTCAGGATGCTGCATGGGCCTTATCCTTATGGCTAAATGCAAATGGGGGAATTGGCCATAGTGCTTGTCTGCTTGCCCTGTGGCAAACTGGCACCCCATCTAGGGCGTTCCTCGTGCCCTGTGGCAAACTGGCACCCCATCTAGGGCGTTCCTCGTGCCCTGTGGCAAACTGGCACCCCATCTAGGGCGTTCCTCATGCCCTGTGGCAAACTGGCACCCCATCTAGGGCGTAACAGTAAATAACAGTAAACAGTAAATTTATCCATATGTCACATTTTCTCAGTTTCACTGGCCAAAGCCTTTTCATGTCACAATGACTGTTAGTCATGCACTGAATCATGCATTCATATACTTTATATTGCATGCAAACATGCTGTTACAGACTTTTAAATTATGATGTGAGATGTCTTTTAATAACTCTGAATATTTTACTACTACTAAAACTACTGTATTCTTATTCGTCTTATTATTATTATTATTATTATTGTCCAGTTGGGTGATATCTCGGTTGTGAAACATGAACCCTTCCACACACATGGCCGGGCCCCCGCTCTGTCTGCACTGCATGTGGCTCACATGGTGCCCCTTCTGACGTCCCTGCTGTCCCCCCGGCCCCCCAGCTGCCATCCTGGACGACCGGCCAAAGTGCGGGCGGGGCGAGCGCCTGGCCCTGGCCCTGGCCAGGGAGAACATCAACAGCATGATGGAGGCACCAGCCAGAGCACGCGTGGAGGTGGACATCTTCCATCTGGAGCGCGACTCCCAGTACATGATCACTGACACCAGTGAGTGCTTTGCCATATTCCCTGCGCTGTGCTTCCTGCATTGCTGAAGCAGAGGACACTCATCTCTGAAAAAGCACAACATTTTCTACAAACTGAGTAATAGTTTGAAGAACTTTGGTAACTAAGAAACCAGCTAATAACTGGTAGCCGATGGGAAATGTTCTAAATGGATGCATAGCCTGCTGTCTAGGTTGGCAAGTCGCTGCGGTGTTTTAAAATAAAGGCAGACCCCTCATTCCCGCATTCCTCTCCTTTTCAGTGTGCCAGATATTACCGAAAGGTGTGGTATCTGTCATCGGTCCTGCCTGGAGCCCCACGTCGGGATCGACAGTCAGTCACATTTGTGGGGAGAAAGAGGTTCGGGAGCTTGACCTCAGCAACTCATTCACATGCTCATTCGTTCTCTCGCTCGCTCACTCACTCGCTAACCCTTATATACTCACTCACTCACTTATATACTCATTCACTCACTTATATACTCATTCACTCACTTATATACTCACTCACTCACTTATATACTCACTCACTAACTCACTCACTCACATATACTTACTCACACACTCACTCATCTTCCTTTTCATTGTTCCTCACTGATTCCATGCTGCCTTCCATTTATTACCCCCCTCTGCTGTTTCTCTGCTATTTCTGATGGCTTTGTGTTCCTCTCCATCTTCTCCGTTTGCTGTCTGACCTTCCTCGTCTCTCCAGATCCCCCATGTGAAGGTCGGCCCTGAGGAGTCGCCCAGGCTTCCGTACCTGCGCTTTGCATCAGTCAGTCTGTATCCTAGCAACGAGGATCTCAGCCTGGCTATTGGGGCCATCCTGCGCTCATTCAGCTACCCAACGACCAGCCTGATCTGTGCTAAGGACGAATGTGAGTATCTGAAGCTACATTAACATGTTTCCAGCTCGCTGCTCTTGTACGTTCCAGGTAAACCCGAATCTTAAATGAAGTGTAATGTGGAACTGCAGCCCTTTGCCCTGGCTGAGCTGTGCTGGTGACATTTCACTCTTGTAACGTGTCACCATACAGCACAGTTTAAGGGGGAAATCGGCATACCCTGGTAGTCTGATGTTTGTCAGTGGCAGCTTGCCATGACTATCACTAAGCAGATTCCCACGTAGCCAGTCGGTGGAGAGAAGAGGTACAGACCCCTGCCGTCTCACTTACGCTGTGTGCCGATAGTGACACCAGCACTGGAGGAACTTGTGACATTGACAGAGATCACGTTTCTTGTGTCTGGATTCCAGATATAAGCACCTTCAAACACATCAAAGAAAAACTAGTGATATATCTATTCGATGAATCAATGAGAACATTTGGCACACACCTCACAGGTCTGCATCACTTTGAAAAACTAAAATTATGCTTGCAAAATTCATTAAAAGGTTCAGAACATTTTTAACATCAAACTTCAGAACATTAGACTTCAGAACAAAAAATGACAGCCGTCCCAGAATTGCAATTAAGTAGTGAAACAACATGACTGTTAGCCCGTGAGGATAATTCACTCAGGTTAACTGACAGTACTGATTAGAATACTGAAACGTAGCATTGCAGAGGATTCATTACAAAGCATCAATGGATGCCCAGGGCCCAACCACAGATTTTCATTAACAGCACAACAAATGTTCTGTCTTACCATGTAATGACAGAAACCTCCATTGCTGTTTTCTGCTATGATGCTTCCACAGACGGCATTTGTTACATCAAGCAAAGACATTTGATCATGAGTTTGGGGATCAGACCCATATCATCTTCCACCTGAAAAACGGCTCTGTTAGGAAGCTGAGGTCAGCAAAGAAGGAATTTGGTAAACATTCTTCAGAAAATATTCATTCCTAATTGATTCAGTTTAAAAATAAAGACTCTGGGATATTTTTTCTTTTTGTTAGTGTAGCAGCAATAAGCAATATACCTAATATATTAAATGTTAATCTTATCAACATAAATAATTGAATGTCCACCCTATGTTGGTGCAAACCGTCCACTTCTTTCAGTCTGTAATGCCTGATCAATTCTGTGCATGAACACATAAATCAGTAATGGTCAGAATCAGTGTTGTAATGCTGTGAATATAATCAAATAGCTGTTTTCATTCCCAAAGCTGATATGATTGATGACGCCCAGGATATACTGTGATCGGGCTGCACCCTGTGCCCATTTTCTGTGATTGTTAAGGCCGTGATTTATTACATATCACCTCCCCCCCCCCCACATGCCTGCCTTTGCTATCGCAGCTCCTGCCCTGCACCAGGAACACTACATACGCAGATCACCCCTCACTTTGCATGTTTATATGAACCACGCTGGAGTGACAGTTTGCACTTGTATGTTTTATTGTCATGGCTGCGTTCAGCTGTGAACAAATTAATTCAGTAATTCAGTCTGTTTAGCAAACCCACCAGAGTGATTTTTTTGACAGTTGCCATAGCACTAGTTTGGAGAATAGTTTGAAGTTTACGAAAGCAATCATAAATGATACAGTCTTTCGCAAAGTGTTGCACCTACGGGATTTGCATCGGCTCTGCTAGAAGTCTTTAAAAAATAAGACTGCAAGTGTAAGTAAAGTACAGGGATCCCTGGTTAAGAATGTCTAACTTACTAACTTGTCCTTATAAGTGGACTACCAGTAAGTCTATTATATAAAAATTCAAATTAAATACAAAGGTTCATAATAAGTAACGTGATCACTATTTTGAGACGCTCGTGAAAACATTGCACGGCTTTAGCTGTTCATCAGCTCGAGGTGCAGCACTGTACTGTATGTAGGTACTTTTATTTGTGCTGTATTATTATTTACCAACAAATTCAACTTTAAGAGAGACTTACTAAGTGGACCTCATTCATAACCTTGGGACTGTAGTGGCCCATGTTTGGATGAGGCACCATCCTTTGTGAAACTCCAGTCACTGTACATGAAGTGAATCCCAGAATGACGGCTGTTTCTGAGATGCTGGATCCACCATATCTGGCACCAACAACCATAATGCTTTCAAAACTACTAGTTACAGATTCTGCATTTTATCCATTCAAAAGCTTTGCTGCAGAATCACTGCACCTTGACCCCGTCTACATGCTTCAGTCGTGGACACACGATTCTCTATTTGTAGGAGCTGGTTCTTGATTAAATGAGCAGCTGTACCTGTTCAAATGGCTGTTGAGTCTATATGTCTAATATTTACAATTACATTGACCTGCATGTTTCTTCCATGCTTTTTGGTTAACATTTGACAGAGCGAGTTACAGGCGATGTCATCACTCTTGCTTCTGGGGGTCCCAGGAGCTGCCATTTCTTTTTACACAAATCGATTCAGAAGGTTCCTCAAACCCCTGGTGCTTTGCTCTCCGCCAGGCCTTCTGCGACTGGAGGATCTCGTACGGCGATTTCTTATCTCGAGGGAGACTTTGTCTGTCAGGATGCTTGACCATAGCTTGGACCCAACCCCCTTGCTGAAGGAGATCCGTGATGACAAGGTGGCCACCATCATCATTGATGCCAATGCCTCCGTCTCCTACCTCATCCTGAAGAAGGTTAGCCCGGCACTGCCTCAGGAGCCCTGCCAGTGCATCCCTGAGAATGAGGCCTGAAGGTTTCTATTAGTCAACCATGCCTCAAACATGTATTACCCCCAAAAATTACACAACAAAACACTTGAGTGAAATTATTGGAATTGTACAAATTCCAAATGTCACTTATATAAGATGTGAAGATACACTTGCTTTGCATCCATGACCCCACGGCCCAGTAAAGCATCCCTGCCGTGCCAGTGACTCTGCTTACACACTACACATAAGATGTGTGGCACTGTGCAGAGCCAGTGACAACTGCAGAAACGCCACTGCCTCTGCTGCCAAATGTCACCCTGCACTGCGATCTGCAGGAGGCTATAATGGAGCAAGCAGCTGAAATCCCACCTGTGAGACTTCACCTACCTGAAATCCCACCTGTGTGACTTCGCCTACCTGAAATCCCACCTGTGTGACTTCGTCTACCTGAAATCCCACCTGTGTGACTTCGTCTACCTGAAATCCCACCTGTGTGACTTCGTCTACCTGAAATCCCACCTGTGTGACTTCACCTACCTGAAATCCCACCCGTGATACTTCACCTAACCTGAAATCTCCCTTGACAGTGACCTCCTCTGCTACATACATTTCTTTTCACTGGATTTAAAAGGTTCCTGGGATTACAATAAGTTTCCCTCATAAAATGGTCTCCATTCAGGCATCAAACACCAATATAAAATCATGGACATATTGCGCACATTTATGCATTAATATGCATAAATGTGCTTTACAGATCCATCCAACCTTTATGGATGGATGGCTGGAAGAATGGATGGATCTGTAAAGCACATTTATGCATATTAATGCTAATATCACAACGATACATGCTGATATAAAGGTAGTAATTCAAAACACCAGCCGAATACATACATACAGGTCACCACTTTGAGAAGCTGGAGATATCTTCTTTCATCAAATGAAATGGCAGTATTAATGAAATGGCAGTATTAATGAAATGGCAGTATTAATGAAATGGCAGTATTAAATGAGTAATATCATTCATTGTGTGGATATGTAGCCTTGCTTCTTCTGCCTTACTGATATACTGCCTAATTATTGAGACAGTCAATGGTGACCAAATGAACTAGATAGATGGTTCATTTACTATTCGAGGGAAATGAATAGATATTTATTTCAGTGCTACGGGCCAGTATGCTGAATATCATACCCTGTGCATTTCTCATTCTGCACGCAGGCCTCGGAACTGGGAATGACGTCAGCATTTTACAAGTACATACTTACTACCATGGTAAGAGGCCCAAACTGCCGGAACGTCTCCTACTGGAATGTATGTAACAGTCCCATGTGTGACCTAGAAGTTACATATCTAATCATATGTGAAATAGTCATGGTTATTGCTGAGTACAAAAATATTCACAGAACACATTTTGAGATTCACTTGGACACCAGTAATTGCCTTATATAACATCTCTTACAATGCAGCCTCAGTGTACTTTTGTGGCTTGTTATTCTGCTTGAATTTTTCTCTTGCAGGATTTCCCCCTGCTTAGATTTGATGACATAATAGATGATCAATCTAACATCTTGGGCTTCTCAATGTTCAACACAAGTCACCCATTTTACCTGGAGTTCATCAGGAGTTTGAACCTGTCCTGGGAGGAGGAGTGTGCCTTCAGCACCTACCCCGGACCCGCCGTGAGTCCGCTTCACTCCTGCTTTGTAGGAGAACCTGTAGCCTGACTGATATCTTGTCACTAAAGTCTTGTCAGTATGATGGATATTCGGGACTGACAGTCGACTGTCTGCCTGACACTGATACTTGTAAACCTGAAACACAGCCCCCTCTGAAGCACAGCCCTCTCTGGAACACAGCCCTCTCTGAAGCACAGCCCTCTCTGAAACACAGCCCTCTCTGAAGGACAGCCCTCTCTGAAACACAGCCCTCTCTGATGCACAGCCCCCTCTGAAACACAGCCCTCTCTGAAGCACAGCCCTCTCTGAAACACAGTCCCCTCTGAAGCACAGCCCCCTCTGAAACACAGTCCCCTCTGAAACACAGCCCTCTCTGAAGCACAGCCCCATCTGAAACACAGCCCTCTCTGAAGCACAGCCCCCTCTGAAGCACAGCCTCCTCATATGACACTCTGGTGAATGACACACATGACCATTTTTTAAATTATGTAAAAAAAAAAAAAAAAAAAAAAAAAAAAAAAAAAAAACTTTTGATTCCTTGGACAAACTGCAACCAAATGCTTGTTGGTGATAAACATCACAGATTTAGATGTATTTCATTTCCATTACGTGCCTTTGTATCTGGCCAATTGAGGTTAGACTATGTCAGAGGAATTTAAGTTGCTTGGCTATAACTTACCTTTGTTAACTGAACCATAGGATCCCAGATTAAAAGTTAGAATGTTGTGAATGAAGAATACATATGTAAATGCCAAAGTGCAAATCTCAACACTCAAATGTAATTTTCCGGGGCATTTGAGCCGCCTGGCCTTTATGTAGATGTAATCAGTATTCTCAGGAAATATAAGAAATGTGAGATTTTAATTTAATTTCAGGCTATGCTAACCAGGGCTGGTCTGCCTGCACTTTTTCTGATGGCCTCAAGATCTGAATTTTTCTCTGCTTTTCCTACAAAACTATTTTTTTTTTTTTTGAGTTTTCAAATTAAGGTTAATCAGTCAGATTCATTTATATTCTGAAGGAACAAACTTGATGTGCATTTGTGCTAAAAACATGCAGCTAATTCTACAGACTGTACGGTGTAAGATTTTGGTTACCGTGCATTATTGGTATAGTACTATCAGTATAGTATTATTAGTATTATAAGTATAACTTCAGGGGCATCAGGGTTTAGAAAACATTAGAAAAATAGTTAGTTATTTTCGTGAGGCCATTAATTTGTTTATTGTTGCCAGTTTAATACCCTACCTGATCAATGGCCTGGGGACCTGCTACAAGAAAAAGCAGGTGGATTTTTAAGCCACAAGCTAACCACTAGCTGGCTAAAGGTTGCATTTTAACAAACTTTGTGGATCCAGCATTCACATAAACGAAACACCTAAACAATGCCAACAAAGCAATGCAGAAAGACATAACAGCACATGGTGACATATTCCAGATGCAGGCTTCTGGCTACAACTGCCTCCACAATATTAAGGTCGGTATCAATGCAGAAAACACAGGCACTTCAGGGTGGTTCGATATGGCACAGTGATGGTAGTGTGACCCCTCGTCTGGATTCCATTCGGACAGTCCGGCTACGTCACTGATACCTGACTAACAGTGAATCACTGACGTATGGGCTACGTCACTGATACCTGCCTGATGGTGAATCACTGACATATGGGCTACGTCACTAATACCTGCCTGAGGGTGAATCACTGACATATGGGCTACGTCACTAATACCTGCCTGACGGTGAATCACTGACATATGGGCTACGTCACTAATACCTGCCTGAGGGTGAATCACTGACGGATGGGCTACGTCACTAATACCTTACTGTTCTTCCTCCCTGGCCACAGCTGTCCTCCGCTCTGATGTTTGATGCCGTCCATGTGGTGGTGGGGGCAGTGCAGGAGCTAAACCGCAGCCAGGAGATCGGAGTGAAGCCGCTGAGCTGCTCCTCGCCGCAGATCTGGCAGCACGGCACCAGCCTGATGAACTATCTGCGTATGGTGAGCATGGAGGCTCCGTGCTGGGGGCTCCGTGCTGGGGGCTCCGTGCTGGGGGCTCACCTTGGGGTCTGAGGTCCTGACTGCCTCTTGTCTGTTATTTTGCTTTCTCTGTCGGTCTCTGTTATCATGTGTGCTATTGATATTGTAATATTACTAATGCGAATGTTTTTTCTGAAACATTCTGCACAGTAGACTTGTTTTTGCAGGTTACAAGGGGCTTGCTCATATGGACTATAAATATTAAGTTTTAAACATATAAATAGCAATTTCCTATCTTAAGAATTAAAACAACAAGAAGATGAATGTTGTGTTGCGAATACTGACAAGGAGATAATGTGAAAATCTACGTTAGGTAGAACTCTAAATCGAACGTATATCCTGCAATTTTAAAATATATTTTTTTAAATGCATTTTAAAGAGAATAATTAAATTACTGTTAATTGTAAATTACACTTAAATAACTGTTCTGTTAATATCTCTACATCCTTTTTCCATGAACATTTCACATGTGCATGGGCCACAACAAGCATGCAAAGCAGCAGAAATCTAAGACAGACTAGAATGATCACCAGGGGGTATTTAGGACTTACTCAGCTGTGTATCATTGGGTTCTGTATTTTCTTTCTATGATATTCCATTGTGTTTGTCAGAGAGGCCTTATTTCATAACTGGCCTGTGCTGACTTTTTACCCTCAGTGAAGCTGCTTGGGGACTACAAACATGGTGGTGTTTGGCCGGCACTAGGAACAAGGGTCTCAGCTCTTTATTGGTCTATAGCTCTGCCAATCAGAACCAGGAAAATACAACCAGGGACCTGTATCACAAAGCAGGATTTCTTTCCTAGCTGCAGAACTTATTGGATTTAAGGTAGTCTGGGTTAAATGTAAGTGAACGAAGATAAAATCCATGTAAACTGGGATACCTTACATTCGACGGGATAGACTGTTGCAGACACACTCTCAACAGACAGGAACAAATATGTCTGATTTTAGGGTTTGCAAATGTTTTTGACCATTAAACTTTATTCTCTTTCCCTGCGATAAAATACTAGCAGATAGCTAGACAGTTAGCAGCACTAAATTTAGTGGAAGTTAATTGTTCTGCTAACCATTTTAGTAGCGGAAATGTGTATTTATAGACTTAAATCATGAGTAATTTGCCTTCACTCCTCGTAAAGATTCGGTCCACCTATCCATTCATCTCTAACTTTACCCCCAGTACCATATAACACTATTGTGATTTTTTTAGTTTGTTTTAGGTGAAACGATGTGAAATGTGAAAATGTCATAAATATTGCCAGACTTTGTATTCAGATGAAAATTCAGTTTTCAAACTTTAACGTGCCATAAACGGAAACAGTCTTTATTTACATGACTAATGTGTCAGGCTGATTTCTGTTCTGTCAAATGAACCCCCAGATACGTGCGCATTTACATGCGGCGTGTCACATCCTTTATTTTTCTCCCCCCAAAAGTCTCTGGCATCCTCCTGAAGGGGAGAGGAGTCTTCAGTGATTTGGGCTCCTCCGTTGCCAAACTGTGCTGTTGCTGGCTGTGCAAACAGGGCAGACTGACAAGAGCTGTTATGGCTTTGTAAGCATAAAGGAAGCGAGCGGGCGGCCTTCTGCGTGGGCTGCGGCTGCACGGCGGCTCTCTGCGTGGGCTGCGGCTGCACGGCGGCCCTCTGCGTGGGCTGCGGCTGCTCGGCGGCCTTCTGCGTGGGCTGCGGCTGCACGGCGGCCTTCTGTGTGGGCTGTGGCTGCACGGCGTCAGTGCTTTCTGTTTCGCTAAATGGATGCTTACATTTCTTCTCCAGCAGCCTGTATAATATACATTATGCTGCACTTATCACATGTGCTGTACAGAAATTGCCAAAGCTATATATAGCATACTATGGATAATTGGTTTACTGTTAGTTCATATAATCAATACAGTTCTCTAAACTCTTTTAAAACCATTATTTACACAGTTTTCGAGTGAAAATTATGGAGATAATGGATTGAATAGAATTTAAGAGTCTTCTATGTTTTTCCTGTGGAATAATTCCCTTACTGTCGGTTTTTGTTTTTATGGCCATGAATATATTGCGTGTGTGTGCATATGTGTTTGAGTCTATCTTTGTGTACCTATATGAGTACCTTGTTTGTTTATATTTAAAATTTAGTATAGCAGCGAATGTCTCGTTATGTCTCCATGTATTCCTGTGGGACAGTGCGCCTCAGAGGGTTTTCGCTGTCTGACTTCGTCTGTTTTCCTTATTTTATTTCTCTTCTTCTCTTTTCTGTGCACGTGTCAGTTGTTCCTTGCTTCTATTGCCACAACAGCCATCTCCTGATTTATGTTATTCTGTGATTTGTAACATGTGTAATTCCCTTAAAAAAGCCAACTATTCATGGAAGACAGTTATTTAAAAAGTATAAATATTGACAGAACATTAAATATCAAAGGTATAATTTAATGAAGTGCAGCAAACATCTGAGTAATCGACGCAGTATTAGATGAAGATGCCCTGGTGTGGGGTGGCAGTCGGGTCATGGGGGGATAACCTGGGAGCTGGGGAAAAAGGGGAGGCTTCCAGAGGTTTCATCCTGGATTTGGGCAATTTCCAAACAAAAAGGTTTGGATGAATAGGAATAGCATTTGGAGTCAGAAGGTGGCTGCTAAGGCGCCTCTGCAGGTTAGCCTAACCTAACCCTAAGCCTAACCCTAATCCTAACCCATGACGGGAAAGTCGCCGGTGCAAATCCCATGGCTGCTGTTGCCACTGCTGAGGCCTTTGAGCCCCACTTATCCGGGCTTAATGACCAAAGCACCTGCAACAGATACATGCAGTTCAGTTTGGCTGCGTGGTAATTCGCATACCTATCGTACGTGAACTGGGTGTGTGGGGATTTTCCAGCTGACGTTCTTGCGTGTCGGATTTCCTGTCTGACCACAGTCATTAGCACGCCGATGCCAGTTCCCCCCTTTGTTCTTTGTCTGTTTTTCCATCCCCCTCATTCTTTGTGCTCATGTCAGATTGTATATGTTTTCATTGTCTTATCTGCACAAAAACTCTAAATCCACCTGCATTACAGGTGGAGTACGATGGTTTGACAGGCCGGGTGGAATTCAATGGTAAAGGCCAAAGGACCAACTACACCATCAGCATTCTGGAGAAGCACAGAGGAGGTCACGAAGAGGTCAGCTGCAATGAAAACAGAAAACAGCACTCCGTAAATCTGCACTGCGTGTAGCAACATGCACCAGTATTGTTTTGTTGATTGTAAACTGATGATATGAAAGTAGAAAGAATTACTGATGTCAAATTTCGAATCCTTTGAGTTTGTTTCAATGAAACATTTTATAGCTTATTACTTCCCAGGTCTTCAGTATACCCCAGATCTGTCCGTTTCCCAGGCTGTTATTTAGTAGGAAGGTAGACTGTAAAAGTCAAAAGACAAGCAGGCCTTCATTCTCAGTTCTGAGGAAGCTCCTGTGGATTTTCTGCAGCATTTCTTGATATCTATCAAGTTTTCCTCACTCCCCTCTGCTTGCATAACATTTTTTTCCACGACTCCTCTATTACCAATCCAGCGCTCTTACTCCTTAGCTGCTACACCTTGTGTTTCATTGTTGTTCATTACTGTGCTTCCCTTTGGACAAAAGTATCAGCTACATAAGTAAATGTCGGTGTCAGTTTGGGAGCGACCTGGAAGGCCCAAAGCTTCATGACAAGCTAAGCCATTCGTTAGACACAGCAGAAAGGCCGCACTCTCCAGAAGAAGCACGAGCGACTTACTGAACCAGTCAATCAAATAATAAAGACAGTGTGACTTCTGAAAGGCAGATGCATGGTGGCCGTAATGACGGCCTTCCGGACTTGGCAAAAGGCACATGTGTAAGCTTCCATTCTCCAAGGGGCACCTATTTTACTTAAACCACGGTAAATGTACATTCACAGGTATACAGAAAAGATCTATGGGTCTTTTTGGGAGCGGGTAAGCAGTGATTACCAATCTTTTGTCTCCTTTTCATCCATTCATTGAATAACCACCAGGCGTTTGAATGCTTATGATTGCTTAGGCATTCATCACTCTTGAGGTGCAATGCTAAAAATGGACAATTAAATCATCCGGCAGGTATTCAGCAGGGCCAGAAATGTCGGCTCATTGACTAATACATCTTCTGTGTAGTCGGTGTTTCTGGCTTGTTTTGCCATGTCAGCTGAACAGCTTGTCCCTCCCCTCTCTTACAGATTGGGATCTGGTACTCCAACAACACACTGACTATGAACTGCACTTCTCTGGACCTCAGTGTGTCTGAAACTTTGGCCAACAAAACACTCATTGTCACCACAATATTGGTAAGAGCAAGAGAGCAAAATTCAGCCAAGTGCCCCAGGCCATAGAACACACCCTACATGGGGTGACGGTCCTGCACACAGCACACATACACTCACACACTATGGAATACATACTGTTTCACATACCTGAAGGCTGTTTTTACTGTGGAAGGAAATCTACAGTATGCAATACGGTGGGAAACTCCCAAACTCCACACACCTGGTGTGCATGCTATGGAAAACATGTCTGCCCCAGTCCCCTGCTGTTATTTTAATACATAACAGCCTTGTGTCAGCCAGCATATATGGGTGTTTTTGTAGGAAAACCCCTACGTCATGCGCAAAGCCAACTACCAGGACTTTCAGGGCAATGACCAGTACGAGGGCTTCTGTGTGGAAATGCTGAAAGAGATGGCTGACATCCTCAAGTTCTCCTTCCGCATCAAGCTGGTGGACGATGGGCTGTACGGGGCCCCGGAGGCCAATGGCTCCTGGACAGGCATGGTGGGGGAGCTCATCAGCCGGGTGAGTACCTCGCCTCCCTCCCGGCCGACTCCTGGCTCCTGACTCCCGGTGCGGCTCCTCCCTCCTCAGCCTTCCTGGGTCGCCCCCCCATCATTCTTTGTGCCCAATACAAAGGCACGGTGTCGGAGGTGTGGTTTACCTGAGAGCGCCTCCTGATGGCTGCCTGCTTCCTCCCCTGTCTTTCTCCCTCTGTAACCCCGCACTCCAAGCAGAAAGCGGACTTGGCTGTAGCCGCCTTCACCATCACGTCAGAGAGAGAGAAAGTCATCGACTTCTCGAAGCCCTTCATGTCGCTTGGCATCAGCATCCTCTACAGAGTGCATCCTGTAAGGAGCAGCGCCGGGGACCGGCTGCGGACAAAAAGCACAGACTGATGCATGCAGACCCACAGCAGTGCATGAGAAACACAGCTTGCCCTGAAATATAAGATGTGTTTTGGAAAAATAAATCCATTTTCCTGATTACATTCTGAGAGATGCTGCCCTCTCGTGGCCGAGATAAAAACTGCATGTTTAAAAAAGGCGGCATGTTTTCAGGTTACTTGCCATTTAAATTGCCTTTTCAGGGCAGGAAACCAGGCTACTTCTCCTTCCTGGACCCCTTCTCCCCAGCTGTCTGGCTCTTCATGCTTCTTGCATACCTGGCTGTCAGCTGTGTGCTCTTCCTGGCTGCCAGGTACAGTAACATGTCAATATACAGAAATGGTGCCATTTACAGCCATTTCTAAGACCTTAAGTCGATTAAATTCCCATCCATCCCGCCATCTTCTTTGCAGGGCCGTGGATTAAATCTGTTTAACAGAATTGCTTCCAGTGATAATACACGCACTAAGCGTGATTAGTGTAGCTGTATGTAGCTGCAATAAATGGCTGTAATATCTTCCTGTCACCTGTGTGCTTAATATCAATGTGTAGCTCATTTGATGTTTTCAGCCGGATGCCTCCTCTGTCGTTTCCTCGTTCAGAATGAGTCCGTTTGAGTGGTACGAGCTGAGCCCCTGCCTGCGTGGGCACAGGGATGTGCTGGAGAACCCGTACACCCTGGGCAACAGCCTCTGGTTCCCCGTGGGAGGCTTCATGCAACAGGGCTCGGAGGTCATGCCCCGGGCGCTGTCCACCCGCTGCGTCAGCGGAGTCTGGTGAGTGCCCCGCAACCGAACGCGTCCATGTCATCAGAAACGGGGTGACGACTAGGGCCCAGCCTCCCGTGCCCATGCACTGTGTCACTGGGGACCACAGAGATGCAGGAATTAGCACGTGCTGCCTCACTGGGCACTGGCACTATGGCCTCTAGATCCTACATCTCCATACATCCCTTAGTAAGCCGTGGCAGAGAGGCCCTCAGCGCAGAGCATACGCACATGGTCTGCTGAAGCATGCTGCTGTACAGCTCTTCCTCCTCATCCTGTTCCGGCTCAGGTGGGCCTTCACCCTCATCATCATCTCCTCCTACACCGCCAATCTGGCGGCTTTCCTCACGGTGCAGAGAATGGAGGTGCCCATCAAGTCCCCCGATGACCTGGCGGACCAGACCAACATCCAGTACGGCACCATCCATGGGGGGAGCACCATGACCTTCTTCATGGTACGGCCCGCTGCCTGCAGATGTATGACAGACCACTGGTTATGTGTATGAACATGGATGACGAGCTCAATGGACACTGGCTTGGGCCTTGTTCGGGAACTGAAGGGCTGATTTCTGTAACAAAAAACAAAAGTGTTTCTGATACATTCACCATTAGTCAGTTTGGTCATTCAGTCAAATAAGCAACTGCAGCGATACCAAACCAAATCATTACATGTGATCATTAATATTAGTACTGATGACAAACTGAAGGATAATTTACTGGATCATAATAAAAGTTGTGATTAAAGTGGCATCTTCATTATAGGGGCCAGCACGATTATATTCTGAACAAACCTGTATGACAGGTGACAGATATAACAGCATTCAATGAACATAAGTATTCAAACCCCCATTTCTTAGACATGATTACCCAATCATGCATCACTTCCTGCCTTTTAACTCTTATAGTAAACGCCATGAATTTGAGATCCACTTATGCTTCATTTCTGAGAATGAAAGTCATATATTTGGAGCGATGTGTGGGGCGATGTGCAGCCTGTAATGCATGTGACGCATGTGATGCGTTTAATGCCCGTGATGCCCCTGATGCCCGTAATACCCATGATGCCCGTAATGCTCATGATGCCTGTAATGTTCATGATATCCGTGATGCCTGAAATGCCCATGATGCCCGTGATGCCCATGATGCCTGAGATGCCTGAAATGCCCATGATGCCTGTAATGCTCATGATGCCCATGATGCCCGTGATGCCCATGATGCCCGTGATGCCCATGATGCACCTAATGCCCGTGATGCCCATGATGCACGTGATGCCCGTGATGCACGTGATGCACGTAATGCCCATATGGGTCGTGATGCCCATGATGCCCATAAGGCCCGTAATACCCATAAACCCTGGGCCGGCACCTCGCCCCCCTCCACTGCTCCAGCATTCTGTCTGTATTATTCCTCCCTCTCAGTGTATTTCTACCCTGAATACTGAAGGTAAATCGGGGCAACACTCGATAGTGTAAATGCCTTTCTGTTATAATAGTTACATATTATCCATCCATATTCCGATGAACATGGAATACCAGTCCATGGTTTACATGGAATGGGAGGGATCACCCATTTCGGACACTTTAGAGGTGCCATTGATCCCAAGGCATGTCTTTGTGCTGTGGTAGGAAACCTGATCAGAACATATAGATTGCAGACTAGGCTACACACTGAACTCATAATTCTGGAAGCAGGAGGCAACAGTCTTTGTCTAAATGCCCACACTGCCCATCCTGTATTAGTTTGTTGACAAATTTGTAATTGTCAATGTTATCATGAGTTGAGTAGCTTTTTCAGGAGTTTACATGAGCTATATCATCTCATCTCCAAATGTCTGGAGGCATGAGATATGTGAACCTGATAAGAGATCACAGTGGTTTGAGGAAGCTGTTTGTGAATACCTGAAAACTCAGCCTTGGTGTGCTCATCTGACCCAACAGAACTCACGGTACCAGACCTACCAGCGCATGTGGAACTACATGTACTCCAAGCAGCCCAGCGTGTTTGTGAAGAGCACCGAAGAGGGTGTCGCCCGTGTTGTCAACTCCAGATATGCCTTCCTGCTGGAGAGCACCATGAACGAGTACCACCGGCGGCTGAACTGCAACCTCACGCAAATCGGGGGCCTGCTGGACACCAAGGGATACGGCATCGGCATGCCACTGGGTAGGGGGGGGGCACCGGCACCTCATTGGGATGCCTGTGATCTACAGCTTCATGTTGACTGACTGCCCCTCTGTGAAGGGCTGACTTTGGCTTCTCAGTGGTGGGACAGCAATGCACCAATGTCCACATGTGGCATCCATTACATTCCGTCCTTTCCCTCTTTGTTGTAGGTTCTCCATTCAGAGATGAGATCACTTTGGCCATCCTTCAGCTCCAGGAGAATAATCGTCTGGAGATCTTGAAGCGGCGCTGGTGGGAGGGTGGGCAGTGCCCGAAGGAGGAGGACCACCGGGCGACGGGTTCGTGTCCCTCAGCAAAGCCAGGCCTGGGATATCACAGACGGTTGGGACTTAGGGCTGGACGGGAGTGGGCACAGTGGGGTGCCATGTGTCTGTAGGTCCAGGAGAACCTACAACATTGTGGGAGGTGTTGAATGAGATTAGCCTACTGTTTGGATCATACCAAAACAATCAGTTCTAGCAGTAGAGCTAAAGGAAGAATGTCTAGCAACAATGTCTAGCCCTCTGCTAAGCTTCTGTTTGAGTGACTGATATGATATCTCGCACAGGACTGGGCATGGAGAACATTGGGGGCATATTCGTGGTACTCATCTGTGGCCTGATCATCGCCGTGTTTGTGGCCATCATGGAGTTTGTCTGGTCAACGCGACGCTCGGCCGAGAAGGACGAGGTACGGCCTAACCGCTGCCGGCATGGAAGCCAGAGGCTTTCCCCAGTAGGTTCATCTGGAAATCGTCTGCTTAGCTCCAGGCCTGTACTTGTCTGTGCAGCACTGTCCTGGAAGCCACTCTCTTGTCCTTTGCCACAGCATGTTTGTAATGTAGTGCTCTCTCTATCTGAGGATTCGTCTCAGTAAAAGTTCCATATTTGGTAGTTTCCTGCTTTCAAATACGACCAGGATTTAACTTGGAACTTTGTCTCTGATAATCAGATAATCCAGCTGAATATCAGCTTTTTCACCGGCGCCTTTTTCCCCAGATCACAACAGTCACATCACTACTTCAGAGGTACATCACACACAAATGAGGGGTTTCCTACAGTAATCCTGCATTATAGTCTTCTTTAAGGGATACTGTAGCTTGTCAGTCTACCTTTCAGCACTCAAATGTTGTATTAAACTTTTAGAAAAATTGATTCATTCATAGCTGAAAGGCTGCATTTTAAAACCCACACTGGGGAATTGGCTGCAGAGAGCTGCGGTGGTCTGTGTAAATAGTAAATTTAATCCACTCTGTTGTGATAAGGTGCCATCTAATAAAGTAAGCGATATTATCCATGTGATTCCTTGGCTGATACGGGACAGTGTGTGTAGAAACAGATGTGCACAAATCCTGCTGAGGCAGTGACCACAGAATTATGGGTAAACTTTAGTTTAAGGTGCCGTCATTTCTGGAGCAAGGTATCTTTGTAATACGTTTCTACGTTTGAGTGCAAGTGAATTTTTCTATGTATTTATATATTATCAAATGATCGCTAATGAGCAGACCTTTAAGGTTTAGGAATAGCCCATTTAGTATATTGCATAGTTTTTTAGTTGCAGGTGATCTGCAACTAAAAAAAAAAAAAAACTCTTTAGTAAATAAACGTTTTAGTAAATAGTTTCTGAGACTGGAGTAAGATATCTTTGTAATACATTTCTATATTTGACCACAAGTGAATTGTTTTATTAATTGATGCAAGATCAAATGATTGGTGACAGTTTGATAATAGCTAAGGAGCAGACCTTAAGCTGAAATGCTATGGAATTACACTCCTTAAAAGTGACAGCCAACAGTCAGTGTCTCCTATTGCTTCCCAGAGTGTAAATCCGAGCGTCACGCTTCTCCTGCTCAGTCCCAGGGCACTGCCATGCTTGCTTGTTATAATTTTAGGTTGTTCTTCGAGTCTTTTTTTTTTTTCTTTTCCATGCCAACCTTTACCCCTGTCACGTGTGTGCTTAATATCAATATGTGTTTACCCCTACATAATGTCACCTTAACATGAACCTTTGCATTATGTCTGTGCTCCTGGAGAAGGTCAGTACATATGCAACATGTAGGATGCTTATGGAGAGATTGGGGACCAGAACATTTCTTTTAATGTAAGAGGAGAGTGATTTCTGCTCATTGGTGCACAGGTAACCTTCAAGTCACCCTGTATTCCTGGTTTCATTCTTGATCTGCTCTGATGCAGTGCTCTTTGTCATTCCTGTTCTGCACTGATGCAGTGCTCTTTGTCATTCCTGTTCTGCACTGATGCAGTGCTCTTTGTCATTCCCGTTCTGCTCTGATGCAGTGCTCTTTGTCATTCCTGTTCTGCACCGATGCAGTGCTCTTTGTCATTCCTGGTCTGCACTGATGCAGTGCTCTTTGTCATTCCTGGTCTGCACTGATGCAGTGCTCTTTGTCACCCTGTATTTCCTTTGCGTCTTTTTATGTTTTCCTGTTTTTTTCTTTTCTTTCTTCCATTTTCTTCTTTCTCTTCCTCAGGTGTCTGTCTGCCTGGAGATGATAAGCGAGCTTCATAGTGCCATCTCCTGTAAAAAGAGCTCTCGTCCCAAGCGACGGCGCCACCTGCTGGGAGCCCGGGGGCCCCGCCACCCTGCCCGTCTCTCCCTCAGTGCCCCGCGCCCACTGCGACTTGTGAGGGACCTGCGGCTGAGCAATGGCAAACTGTACAGCAGTGCGGCACCGCTGTCTCCGGGGGGGGCCCCAGCTATAGGCCCGGGGCCACAGTGTCTGCTAGAGGATCACACAGGGGCCAAAAGCACCCCCACGGCCCTGCTAGCCCCCCAGCGGAGCTGTCCACACATCCGCATCTGCCAGGAGTGCCGACGGATCCAGAGCCTGAGGTCACCCTGCCCCAGGGCCGGCACCTCGCCCCCCTCCGCTGCTCCAGCATGCCTCCCCCCACCGCTGCCCCCATCCTCTTCCAGTACAGGCAGCGAAAGGCGTGGAGGGGACAGCCCTCACCTCCCACACCTTACACCTCCTCCACGAGCTCTGCCCTCCTCCTATAGCAGAACCAGTGCCGATCTTGGGGCAGAACAGGACTAAGCTGGAAGGGCTGAATGGAGGACTGGGCCCCACATGCACATGCACACACACACACACACACACACACACACACACACACACACAGAGTGTCGTCTGTGGAAGGAAAAGGGCCTCCAGGCCACCAAATGAATTGACCCAGACCTGGAGCAGATGGCTGGATATTGTGAGCTCAGGTGGGGTACTCTGGGCATGGAAGCAGAAACAAGGAAGACCAGCCCAGCGTGGTTGTATGCTTGGAAATGTCCTTTACCCAGAATGCACTGTGCCTTGCAGGGCAGCTAGGATAACACCACGGTGACGCTTTTATGGAAGGCACTGTGTAGGGGCACTAAAATGATGGAACTGATGTTCTTCTGTGAACAACACCTATTTAGCCTTTGTTGTTTATCACCATGGTGACAGGACCAGTGTAATGTAAGAAGCAACCTGTGAAGATCTTGCATTAAACTTCAACATCTCCAACTGCGGGAAGATCTCTCGCACCTGGAACCCGGGTCTGTAGCTGAAGTATAGAGGCCGTGGATGTAAGGGATCCCGGCCTGCAGAGTGTGAAAGATAGAAGCCTGGACTATTCTCTCCTTTTCTTTCCTGTGGCTAGCTGCATAAACTGTGCTTATGTCCGAAGGATTTTCAAATGTAGGTGCTGTGTCTTATTTAAGTTGTTAAATAAAACTGTCAGTCATTGGGTTCAGCTGACTAATGCCACCTTCCACCTGCATGCCAAGCTAAACCGAATCTGCACCCAAGCTGGAAAAGGCCTAATGTCTCTCTGAGAGCCGTGGGCTGTAGGCCACTGGAAAAAGCCTAATGTCTCTCTGAGAGCTGTGGGCTGTAGGCCGCTGGAAAAGGCCTAATGTCTCTCTGAGAGCCATGGGCTGTAGGCCTCAGTCCAAGATCATTTAGCCACGAGATTAGAAGGTAAGAGTGACCACTGTCTTCAAAAGGAAATGCCCACCCTGGAGTGTGTAGGAGTGTCACATCTACATGACCTTTTACATCTTAATTTTGCAGGTGATTTTATCCAATCAGGAAGCAGGGTCATCAGTGTCTCTGTGGCGTTTGTGGGTTTAGGGCCTCGTTGAGGGAACAAGCAGTGACATCACTCTGCCAGCCGTGAGCCTCACTCAGTTTTTTCTCATCAACATAACAGTTGGGTACAAACATTATAGATGCCCCCTAGTCAACAGTATGAAATGAAAATAGAAACAAATGCTCTATAGTTACTTATAAATATGCATTCAACTGATTTCACTCAGTATTAAATATTCAACTCAATATTAAATATTAATACTTAAAGAATAATAAATATAGTCATAATAATATATCAATATAATAATAATATAATCAAAAATCTCCATTTGTTGCTTTTGCTCAGCACCGATATACCACCTTATGAAAGCACATTTCGTGGCTAAATGGAAACAGAGACAAGATTAATTTGCCACCTAGATTTTTTCCTTTTGCATTTATTCACCAAGAACCTCGTTTCTGCCTGGTGAACCATTTTGCCAGGGCAGGCTGCCTGTCTGATGATGTCACACCGGTTTGCCGTCTCGGTTACAGCCCGGCATGCTAGTGGAGAATCTGCATCATATTCACTGTGAATTGTGAGTATATTATGATATGGACTTACAAAACCATGAAAATGACAAAAAAATATTTTTGATAATGTAATGAAAACTGTTGTAAAAATTATTAAAATCAAAACAATTATCAACCAGAACCCAAAATCTTAACCGATCTATTTTTAACGGGTGCATTTGACAATGAAACTGTCAAAAATGATAATTAGTGAATCCCAATGGGTTTCGGATCTTGACAGCCTGTCAAAAAAAAATCACAAATAACTTCAAAAATGTATGGTTCAGTAACTCAGTAGCTACAGATGACATGAAAATTACTGTTGTGTCAATCGTGTCTAATGTTACAGAGCTGCTTCAGTTGTTCGCAGCAGAGTCTGCAGTCAAGATGCAACATTCTTCAGGCTGCGGGGAGGCGTTTTAGCCTGAACACTGCGGACCAGTCCTCCGGGCAGCTGCTTACTGGAATAACCAAATGTAAGGTTTGAAAACACTGTCTGTAAGACATATTAATAAAGAGAAGAATCTCAGAATTCCTTTGTTCACAGAAAAAAAAAAAAATCGGCATTCATCACAATAATAAAGCAAATGACGTATTACAGAAGTGGCAGGACAACGGGGTTTCTGTGAGCTGATAAGTAAAATTGTGTTATTATGTAATATTATTTGAGCATGATCATTATAAAAAAATTGGAAACTGGATACATATAACGTCCATATGTAAATCATAACTATAAAATAATGCAACAATTAAAGTTTTAGAGACATACAGGTCATTTTAAACAAATAAAAAGGGAAAAGAAAATACAGTAACTTTCCTGTAGTACTTAAGCTGAAGACTTGACTTGTAAGTGGAGCCGGTTTGTTTCCTTGCCAGTCTAGTTTGCCGGTGACTCCTAAGCGGTGCTATGAAGCAGGGCCTGGTTAGCGACACTGAGCTGTGAGTCAGGGTGGTTAGGCTGTTATTAGCCTGTCGGACAGCGCGGACTGACGATTCTCTCAGGAGCCTTAGTGCTCTGCGCGTATAACTGGCAGCTTTCTGAATGCAGGGATCTACTGGGCAGGACGTGCAGAGGCGTGTGGGCAAAACTTATGTGCAACAATTTTCAACATTCCAAATATCCTCATGAAAGAATACACATTTTTTCGTGGTACTGTAATTTCTCACAAGGCAGGTTACAGTAATAGCATGTATTCCACAGCCAAACAGCTTCTGTGAACTTTATAATGACTATGGCTTCCATGAATGGAAATGCAGGCTCCAGTTTCCTCACCTATGTTAATTTGCCTTTGCATACAAGCTAGATGTTCATCCAGGCAGGAGAACATGACTGATTAAGTAATTGGCGGGGACTGTGTGTGTGTGCGTGCGTGCGCGCGAGTGTGCGAGTGTGTGACGTACACTAAAATTTGCCTTGGAAAAAGCTTGCACTTCAGAGGGGGCAGCATGTGGTTTAATTTTTACCAACTGGACACCCTTGTTTTGCAAATGCTGCCTAAAATAGATCCTTTTGCTGACTTTTTATTTTATCGTGAGAGAGAGTAGCTCTGCAGCTCAGTGCATAATGGTCAGGCCAATATATTGTTGGTGCCACTGTACTGTAGAGATGCTTCCTAAACCAGGCGCGTCTTCTGCGTACCTCATGGGAGCAGCAAACTCATAGCCACAGGTTGCTTCTGAGCCAGGGATGCGTTTCCCAAAAGCAAAGTTGTTAACAACCTAAGCAACTTACAGGGTTGGAACCTTGTACTCAATGCTTCGAACTGTGTAAGTTACTAATAACAGCTTTTGGGACATGGACCCCTGATTGCTAATTTTATTGTCATTGCCTGTTGCTGGCCCTATATTGGTCAGATCACAAAAGCACCATACTGTAATTTCTTAGAAAATATTGATGGTTAATGCATTACATTATAAAAATTAAATTATATCATTAATAAAATGTAATAAAATTCGGACAAGGTGAGCTTACAGAGATGGTGTGAAGTGTGCTGCAACTGTTATATTGATGGAAAAAAATGAGAAAATCACGGTCGATATGAAAGGTGAGCTTTGACAGAGTTAGCCTGCTTTGTCAAAGTCACCCCACAAGTTGTTTATTGGGAAGCTATGTTTTTGTTGGTGTGTCCACACAGCTGAGTGGTTATTTGAATAAGTGGATGTACATACTGTATGTAAGCATTTGTATAACATTTCCCCAGTTTTCCCCACCTTGTATTCTCTCTCATTCTACCTAATTAATCATTGCAGACCCTGACAAGTGAAATTGTAAACTGTTGTGGATTGCAGTGGTCAGACAGTAGAATTTCTTAAAACTGTTGCAATTGTTTGTTAAACACATCATACTAGTCCAGCTAGAATTTTTTGTCTACTAAAATTCCTCTGTAACTGTCCCACTGAGTCAAGACAAAAGCAGGGCTGCTTTAGCTGAATAAATGATATCTAGAAATATCTAAGAATTGTTTAAGACTGGATAAGTAGCACATGAATAAGTTGTCATTTATCTGGCAGGCAGTGGACAAAATACAAAAGCTCAAATCAGACTGCTATGTTTATAGTGTCTCACCTTGTTGTCAAAGTAGTCATTCTTGTGCGTGGCCTTCATTCTCAGCTTTAGTAGTTTTTAATATTCTGCCTGACACACATGCTCCTGAGCCTGTTCACATGCTCCTGAGCCTGTTCACATGCTCCTGAGCCTGTTCACATGCTCCTGAGCCTGTTCACACTCCGATCACACAGCTAACCTGCTGGAGGAGGGGCTTCCCTGACATACTGTATGACACACATGCTCCTGAGCCTGTTCACACTCTGATCACACAGCTAACCTGCTGGAGGAGGGGCTTCCCTGACATGCTGTATGACACACATGCTCCTGAGCCTGTTCACACTCTGATCACACAGCTAACCTGCTGGAGGAGGGGCTTCCCTGACATGCTGTCTGACACACATGCCAAAATGTGTGTATTAGGGCCATCCAATCCACACCATCCAAACCAGTAACAGAATACACGCTTGAGAGTTATTTAAGTCGCACTTAAAATGAAGTTGAGCAGGCCTGCTGCCCAATAGATGAACTGGCAATCACAACCTCACCTACTGCACACAATTCTGAGATAATAATGCAAAGCTGGCTGTATGCAACATTTCTGTATTTTATGTATAACCGAGTTGGAACCCTGCTTTGTCACTGACTCGACTTGCTTGCACCCTCAATATTTTCTGGCAAGCTTATTGTGTTGTTGTAATACACACTTACTAACTAAAAAAATAAGCCTGTTTGACTTTAAGAATCACAGTCGACTCACAGGTCTCTAACTGAATATTTGAATCATCGACTTTCAGGGGGCAGCCCTTCTGCTACCGGGTATGAAAGAGCGTGGATTTTATGAATCTGCCTGCCAGTAATGGGAAGAGTTTGAATGGAAGGGCTACTCTCACCATATCTCAGCAAAAAACATGATACTAATATTTAGCCACTAGTAATAAATATTCAGTAATTAAATTCTGAATGAATTGATGTTGAAGTAATATCTGTTTCATATTCATAGTGAAAGGAAAGAGTACTGAGTTCCATGTGCAGAACAAGTAGGGAAAACAAGCAGCAACATGTTGCCCAATCCCAGGTATTATGAGGAATGCAAGTCATGCTCAGCAAACAGGGTCAGCAAGCAAGCAAGGGTTCAGCAACCAGCAGGAGTCTCTCAGTAGCCCAGAAACTCAGCAGCTCCGTAATGAGCAGACTCAGTAACTCGCAAAGGTTTTACTTCAGAGAGATCCACAGTCTAATCACTAGAGGCATTTCTAATATACAGGAAAGGTGTGTGTGTGTGTGTGTGTGTGTGTGTGTGTGTGTGTGTGTGGGGGTGGGGGGGGGTGCTCCATTTGGAATCCCGAGTGCTTTTTTGAATTACACCAATGGGGAGACACTCCCTCCCCCGTCGACAAATTTTACTGAGTGCCCGTCTTAGAACATGCAAAACTTACAGAGGAAGATCACCTGCTCAACATTTCTGCTTAGCCCAGCTAAATCAGCTACATCTGAGTAAAACACAAAAACATTACCGTTGGTAACATCCAGTGTACACCCTGGACAAGATGCCCGTCCGTTACAGGGCACACGGCTGGGGTACACCTTGGACAAGATGCCCTGGACTTCGCAAACGTATTCCCACAGAATCAGGCTAGTGTACACATTATTCCTAAATTGTTCCACCAGAATCTGCTCCCCAGTACGCTGCCATGGACTTTCCCAGGGGGCGTGGACATGTTACGTGAGACAGATTGTGCCAAAACTGGAGCAGCGCCACACAGTGATATCAAAGAGAAGGGCAGTCTCTGGCACTTCATCCTGTTAGCATATGATAACTTCAAAAATATTTGATCTCTTTCAAACTTTGCAGGCACATTGAATGGGTGAACATCTGGAACTGTTACATTTTTAAGGCCGACTGCGCCAAAATTAAAGCAGCACTGCTTAGCGGCAGCAATGGAAAGGGTGACTACAGAAGACACTTTTGAACATGATAACTAAGTATGCGATGGATCTTACTACCACAGAAACATTATATGGATGAAGATCTACACCTGATATCTTTTTGAGACAAATTGCACTAAAATAGAAGCAGCAGCCCTTAAGGGCAGCTGCAGAAGACCCTGGGTCATATGAACACCGTAACTCTAAAAGTATTTAACGGATCTCTTTCAAACTTCCCAGGAGCATTGCATAAATGGGGGATATTTCATTTTCAGACACACTGCACCAAAACTGAAGCAGTGTCATTTAGTGATGGCACATGAAAAGCCACAAATGATTATTAATTGAGACTTATTTTGTAACCTTATGAAAACATATACAAACTTTGCATTCTCACAAAAGTACTGTTGGTTTTGACAAACTGCATTTAATATAAGTTAATTTTATATAGTTTTATATAATGTGGTGCATGAGACATTCCCCCTGCTTTAGTTGCATATGTCCCAGGGGATTGTGGTGTTGTAGGCACTGGATATGTTAGGGGATGGGACTGGGTGGTAAGAGGCGTAGGGACAGAAGCCTGCACTTCTTTAGGGGGGAGAGCAAGGCGAAGTGAAACAGCTGAACTGCCGTGTCGGGTCTGTGTCGCCAGTGCAACAATACCTACCACAAGGAGTCAGTAAAACCAAATAAACGGCACTATTATGAATCACGGTTAATCTTGTTGCAATTGCAGCATTAAAGCGTTAATAGTTGCCAGTTAAAGGAACGAAGCTCGTCGTTAAAACTAGGTGCAGTGAGAAAAAAGTTTAAATGAAAATTATAATTGGCCAATAAATACGCTGGCTTGTCATTTTGGTACATGCAGGTGTTATAGGGCAATGGCGAGATAAGATTAATGATTTCATGATTGAATTGATAAAAGTATTAATTTAATTAAACAAATAACGATTGTATATGGACTAATTCACTGTATTAATTTGTTTTCTAATACCCATTTTGTAATATGAACTCTATACCCCCACGACCCACTACTGTGTAAGTGGTTAGAAGATGAGTGGATTGCATAGCCTATACATTTACCTTAATCATTCTACAAATGCTTATAATACAGTTCGTAATTATAAAACTTAAGATTGTGTTATTCTTACAAGCGGTGAAGTCAAAATCAAAGCTTTGCAGTCGTGCTTATATTTCCCATTTTCCTAGTTCGATTGCGTGAAAAGAGGCGTTTCCGTACTTAGGCGCCTCGGCTGGGTACGTAAGGATCGAGTCAGTCTGGCTTCAGGTTCTTCACTAAACTGCGATCGCAAGGCTTTGCTCATCCAAAATGGATCTGAAAAACCTACATTTCGTTTTTGTGCTTTTCTCAACTATAGGTAAGAAATATAATGTTTTATGCATTGGAGTGAAAAGTAATTCTGGCTTGGGATATGCGCAGAAAAAGTGAGCGGTCCCACCTAACAGGCTGCTCTTTTAAGACTAACCTTTTAATCTTTTACAAATGGTTTATAATCAAGTTATTAATTAGGTTGTATCACTTTGTAAATAATTAATAGACAATTATAAACAAGTTATAGCACCGTTTTTCAAAATGTATTGGTAGCTACCATTTAAAAATGGCTAAATGGAGCATTATTGTAAAGTGATAGCCTACCAAGTGTGCTTTTTACCCATTTGTGCCGTATCCGCATTGAACTTTTCAGTCTGTTTACAGGTTTATTTATATTCCGATAACTGATAATGACTATCGTGGTATTTGATCTGGGTCGTGTTTGGACTGAACCTACAGTATTAAGGCTGAGGGACGTAACTAAACTTTGAATTTTGTGATGAGATTTACCATATAAACAGGACCCATGTTCAAAAAATAGATCACCAAATGTTCCCTACAATGTAATAAAAACCTGTTATTTTGACGTTGTGGGGACCATTTTTCAGGTCCCCACAAGGATCTGTGAATGAAATCAAAAAAAAAAAAGGTCGCGTACTTAGTTTGGTTACTTATGGTTATAAGGTTAGGGCTGGTTAGGGGTTAAGGTCGTCATGTTAGGATTAGATTAAATTTCCCCCTTAGAAATGAATAGAGAGTCCCCACAAAGATATAATTACAAACCTGTGTGTGTGTGTGTGTGTGTGTGTGTGTGTGTGTGTTTCAATGTCAGTCGCGATGAAATTCAAAATGCAGCTTGTTTCTCCCTTAGCATGTTTTATTTTTGCAGTTTGGCTATAAATAAATATCACAAATGGTTGTGATCCCTGGACTGGTGGGCTGACGTGACGTCATGCCGTGATGCTTTGTGGTTTCTGCTGTGTGATATGTCTCCTTTGGCTTTTCATTCCCCAGGATGCTGCGTCGGACAGCAGACCACTCTCGTGAATGGCATCGTGGGTGGCAATGCAACTCTAAGCATCATAAACCCCCCTTCGCCGCTTCCAAGTTTCGCCACCGCTGTTTGGGTCACCAGCCAGAGTGGACAACGTGTACCTGTAGCAAGCTATGTTAACCAACACGTTAAGTTCGGGCCCATATACGACGGCAGGGCAACTCTGGACATCACCACAGGGTCCCTGCAGATCAACAAGCTCACGCTGACAGACTCGGGACCTTATGATGTTACTCTGATTTTTAGTGATGGCACCATGCTGCCGCAACAGAGGGTCCTCAAAGTTTATGGTGAGTGGCAGCTGATTGTGTTTTATGGAGAGCTGGTCGAAGTTCAATGGTGGCCTGGCTATGATGAGCATCTGGGAGACCAGGTAGGGTAGGCACAGAGAAGATGATGTTGGCAGGACACAGCTTAATAATTTAAATGTAAAGGTAATTTTTTTTGCCAGAGGGCTGAAGCCAAATTAAATATTGGGGAGTTCATGTTCTCCCCATGTCCCCCAGTTCCTACAGCCCTGCAGACAAGCTAATTCAGAACACCAAGGAAGGCATTTATATGCCCCACACCAGGGAATTCTCATTTATAAGCTGAGAAGAGGAAGCATTTGTTTCTTTTAACCTCATTTAGACTTTCGGAAGTTAAAGAAAGGGTTAGGTCGTAAATCAGCGGTGCGTCACGTAGAAGAGCGAGTAAGCAGAGGAGCTGCATGAAGTCCACAGGCGTTTCTGAAGGTGTGGTAGCTCTCTGGCTTTGACAGGGCGTTGCCTGAGCACAGGACTCCGTGCTGAATAAACATCTCAGTGGCACAGCCCGCTTTAGCCGCCGTTTGTGAATTTTCAGACAGTCCCAAAAGTGTTTTATACTGTGACTGTGCAGTGTCCATGTTCAACTTAAACCACACTGAAATCCTATGGATATGGTGCACTGTTTAGTGAATTATCTTCTGTCATGATAATACGTGCACATTTCTGACAGGTGCGGGAGAGATTTCTACTATTATTATGATTTATTTTGTTACATGTCTGAAAGTGATTCGATCAGGCTACATTTGTAGTTATATATGGCTGGACACAGACTCTGGCCTAAGTGGCATGTGGAGAAGGTGATAGTGTGCAGTTAACACGCTCTGTCTATGGTGACAGTGTGCAGTTAACACGCTCTGTCTGTGTTTCCTGTTCCGCAGAGCCTGTCACTGCTGTGTCCGTGACAGCCAACGTGACCAGCGCTGTCGAGTTCAATGACACCGTTAGCCTAACCTGCACGGCTCAGGGCTCTGACCTCTTCTTCCAGTGGTTTAACGGCAGTTCTCAGATCATGCCTAGTGACCGTGTGAGCCTGACCAATGGCAACAGCACGCTGGCCATCTCCAGCATCCGGAGGTACGATCGGGGTCCTCTGAAGTGCACGGTGCAGAATGTCTTCACGAGCCAGAGTGCAAACTTAACTTTGGACGTCAGCTGTAAGTCCCTCTGAAGCTCGGCCTGCCGTCACACTCCACAGTCAGTTCAGTATCACAGAACTAAGTCACAACAGAAAGGAACCATGAAACCTGAAAGATATATTAGATATATTTGCTTTCATTCAAATTCCTGTATCTAAGATACAGGTTTTCAGTTGTCACCGTTGAACCTGTGTGTTTTGCGGTTCATTTGAATGCCACGGCTCTGACATAATTAGTCTTTTCCCTTGGCTGTTATTAACCTCTACTGACACTTAGGCTCTGCTTACTGAAATTCTTCAATGTATTGGAATGTAACATGACCTGTGTATTTCAGTTGGACCCGAAAATATTTTGGTGACTGCAACTCCTCAATTAAAACCACTGACCTCAGGGTCCAATGTGACCCTAAACTGCTCAGCCCAGTCCAGTCCTGCTGCATTATTCTCCTGGGCTGTCAATGGAAACGTGCTCAAAGATGTAGGCCCAGTATACAAGCTGGATAATGTTGCTGTAGACAAAAGTGGCAACTACACCTGCTGGGCCTACAACGGCAAGACGCAGCGGTACGCGGCCTCCCAGAGCGTGCAGCTCACCTTCCATGGTGAGTCAGCTGGCGTTCGTGGCCATCCTCCGTAGCGATGGGCCTGCTAGCCCTGCCTGCCCAGGCTAAGTGCACACACGTGAAAGCTCTTCTTCTCTTCGTCTGTTAGAATATTCACATGAATGGTAGGAATAATGTTTGAGTGGTGTGTCATTGTTAACGTGTCATTAAATGATTTCTTTAAGAAGTGTGCTTCAGGAGATTTTTATGCTTTTCACTTTAACACCCTGGGCGTGACCGTTCATGCGCGTTACTGTCACTCGCCACTGTCTCACTGTGCACTCTGCCTTATATACTCCTTAGTTACAAGCTGCAGGATTATATAACCGTATCTGTGTTGTTTTCAAAGCTGTATTCTTTACACCGACTTTATAATTTCGTAGTTTCTGCATCCTAAAGCCTATTGTGCATTTCTAATTAACCTGACAGCTAAAAAGTATTTAACTCTACACAAGTGGCATCACCTTTTCATCTGTTTGCTGCTGGAGTACCTGGGGACATTATGGCTGATTAACTCAGCTAGTTGTTCCCTGTTCGGAGACGCTGCACTCCTTTCACCAGGCTGCAAGTGTAAAGTGCTGTTCCCTCCTCCATGATGCTTCATATTCACACATAGCGCCCTCTCGATAGCTGCTCTCTGAGCGAGTGTGGCAGGCAGTAATTCCAGTAATTCTGTGAATGCAGACACCTGTTGTTTATGGCCACTATCAGTTCTGAGGATATTACATCACAGGAAAGCGATAATTCACATATTTGTCTGTCAGCTCCTTGACACTCTGTTTCGGTTTGGCCTTATCTGTGACATGGCCGTCACAGCCGTGCTAGGAGGGACTCGTCCAGCCTTTCCTGCTGCTCTTTTAGTGCTTCCCCGTCACACTGTTTATGTCTATGGTGTCATTTCCTTGGACTGTCCTCATTTATTTGGTGATTGAAGATCGCCACTGAGCACTGGGATTTCATCTGCTCTTCCTTGTGATCTCGTCTGTCCCTGTGCAGAGAAAGTATCTAACACGAAGATCGTGGGCCCATCAACGCCGCTTATAGCTGGCAATAGCTCAGCTAACCTGACGTGTCAAACCACATCTGGCTCCCTCAACACCATGGAGTGGCAGAAGGATGGAAGGCCACTGGTCCCCAGCAGCTCTGTCACCATCTCTGCAGATAAGACGTCCGTATTCATCAGCCCTGTCCAGCGAAAGGACCACGGCGAGTACCAGTGCAAAGTCACCAATCCTGTCAGCACAGACACCGCAATCTACAGATTGAATGTCACTTGTGAGTATAAAGATGATGTCTGCATTGTGACTTTGTCCCTTTGGAACCATACTCTCTGCATACTGGCTTTTCCTCACATTGGATTCCAGCTTCCTGCTATATTGGGAAATAAGTGGGCGTTTGACACATGCTGGCCTCTCTCTGTCAACGTACCAGGAGCCCAACATACAGCTATACTAACAGCTGTTGTGGGGCTACAAAAATCACGCTATTCGCACCCAGGACCAAGCCGTTTCTACGCAAGTGTTTAGCTTTAGGTTCCCAGTCTCTCTGATTAGAATGTTTTCTCTTTCATGGCATGCCTGGTCATATCTAATCTAAGCTTAGCCGGGTGTTTCTGTGCAGACACATGTGACATGTGTGTGCGCAGTGATTCGGGGGGGGGGGCACCACACCCTGTGCCAGGCTTCTAACACTCCAGTCCTTCCATAAAATTAATTTCTGCAGCTTTTTCCCATGCGGAAAAGAGTGAATGGAGAAAGGGAATCTGTGAGTTCTTTTGGGCGGTATTTCAGTTACATGCAGCAATTGGGCAAATCCGAAGTCCCATTTTCCGACTGAGAAGTGCACCGTGCCTGTAGGGGACGGCTGGTGTTTATGCCCCGAGAGCAAACAGAGGTGGCAAAAAATTCAGCAACTGAAAAATAACTTGATTGGCGCAGCGTGAAGGTCCCCTGGCGAGGCGTGATTAGCTTTAACGGACGGAGGTGTGTTACAGACGGCCCGGAAAAGGCCCACGTGGACGGACTGGAAGCAGTGGAGGTGGGCAACCTCGTTCACCTCGACTGCGTGGTAGAGGCAGCACCTGCCTGCAACTTCACCTGGAAGTTAAACGACACGGTAAAGGCTGTGACGACGTCGAAGTACATCATAGAGAGCACTGCGTACAGCGACACCGGGAGCTACACCTGCAAGGCCTGGAACGTGGTGACAGGCATGACCGCCTGGTCCCAGCCCCACACCCTTACTGTGAATGGTGAGGCGTCACGCAAAGCTGGCAGTGCTGGCTCCGGGGGGGGGGCAGGGGGCGGCGAGGGGCCTTAGAGAGCCCAGCACAGGGCGGGACGACCACAACAGTCCATTTAGAAGCATAACCTTCCAGTCTAACAGCTTTTTGTTCTCTCTTGCCACTAAAACAAGCGTTATCTGGCAACCAAGGTGCCACAGCAGGTCACGCCATGGGGGGGACATTGTGCCCCCCCAAATGCCTCCCACCAAAGGACACCATCTTTTGTTTGATTTAAACTGAATATTTTTTAAATGTAGCCATTCATCCTAAAACAAATAAGCCTGGTCTACCCCCGGCCCCCCTGACAATTTACCCCCCTACAAATATGTTTGTGTTTATATGCTACTTTATGTTTGATTTTATATGCTACTTTATATATTTGTGTTTATATGCTACTTTATATATTTGTGTTTATATGCTGCTTTATATGTTTGTGCTTATATGCTGCTTTATATGTTTGTGCTTATATGCTGCTTTATATGTTTGTGTTTATATGCCACCTGAACTCTGCAGTAATGAGTGCAGCATATCACCCAGGTGCTGCTGTATGTATCAGGGTGGCGTTTTAAGGCCGCATTGCCAAGTGTGACCCTGCCTTGCGTTTCTGCCCAGAGAAGGGAACCCTGCCGGAGCCGCTCTCAGGGGGGGCCGTCGCGGGCATCATCATCGGGGTCCTGGTGGCCGTCATTCTCATCGCCATCATCGCCAAATCCCTCATGAAGCGCAGGAAGTAAGTGCACCTCCTCAGGCTGTGCAGCCCTCCCCCAGGTCTCCTCCTCGCTCCTGCTCACCCGGCGCCTCATTCTCCTCTCCTCATTCCCACTCCTCCTGCATCTGCTTCTGCGTCTCTGCATGCATTCTGCTGCTGCCCTTCTCTGTGGGGTGATCACTCTTCAGGCAGAATATGAGGGATTTTAAGGAGGGTTGGAAAATGAGCTGGTCCAGAAATACTTCATTATAATATTGTTTTTTTTTTTGGAATTTAGAAATATGTTGAAACTTTGACAGCTATGCTGTTTTTTATCTGACCCACTGATTCGCAGTCATCTTTACACCTTTATATTATATGCCTGACTAGGCAGTCATAACTGAGCCTTTATTAAATTAAACTTTAGGATACAGAAATACATTGGATATTTGAATGAATACAGCTGTGACTATGATTTTTTTCTGTTTAATCAATTTTTTAGTACCTAATATCTTAGTTTTTACATATTATAATTATATAATTTTCTTCTTTTAACCATAAAAATATTTAACTGCTTTCTAATATTATTATTTAAAAATATGGAGATTTAAAAATTATATTTATTTATTTAATATTATTTATTTTTATCAGCAAAACTGATGCTGTAATGACCGTAAAATACTGCACATTCTCAAGCTGACATTAGTTGTGTGTAGTATCAGTGGCAGATGTGAGATGCAGCGGCCATAGCAAACCACTAGCGTGCTTGTAGCAGGATAAGATTTATGCAACAGGATACCATTTATGCTCCGAAGATTTCCACATATTATTAGGCATGACAAATGAAGGGCGTTATTCCCAGAATTATTCAGGAATTCAATTATTCTGCAGCACCTAGTACGTTTCACAATTGACAGGAGTGAGTCAGGCATGTGGGATCAGAGAGGATTATGGGATTGTGGGAACCCTCACCAGCAGGTTTGTTTGTTTACCCCCAACAGCTCCATCGGTTTTCAGTTAGAGACGCAGGAAGGGTGCAGTACAGAAAAACTGTCTCGCTCACCCAAAAGGCAAAAGGCAGGGCAAGGCAAGTTTATTTAGACAGCATAAGTCAGACATAAAAAAGCAATTGACAGTGCTTTACAGATGCACAGGGTTACATTAACTTAGAAGACATTAAAATCACATTTTATAGACAATAAGAACAAAAACAAATAACTAAGAAGAATTAACGCTGTAGTGTATAAATAATGCTGATCTCATTTGAAAAGCTGCAGCAAACAGTAATGTTTTAAGGCCTGATTTAAATGAGCTGACAGTGTTAGCAGACCTCAGGTCTTCAGGAAGCTTGTCCCACAGACAGGGAGCATGGAAACTGAGTGCTGCTTCACTCTGCTTGGTCTTGATTCTGGCAACACTGAGTAAAGCTTTCTCAGATGACCTCGGGGGTCTTTTCTGTCCAGCTGCTCAGGATGTGCTTATGGTCGTGGTGGAAGTTCTTTCACAGCTTTGTCTCTGTCAGTGACACTTAGGGCTTTTTAGGCCAATGCTGTCCGCAGTACTACCTGCTAATGCACCAGCCACATTTGCAGTAAGCAGGGCTTTGGGGAAACATAGAGAGACGTTGCCCATGCAAATGCGCACGATGACTGTCTGTAGGCAGACAAAGACTTCATGGGATAGACCAAATGTAGTCTTTAATGGATGTTAAAGCCAGCCGCCCAGGAAGTGCCGCAGAGAGTGCTTGACTCACACTGCCTGCTTTCCATGGCTTCTGCTGATATAATTGCACTGTCCGTGCCATTAGAATCAGATTACATTACATTACTGTGCATAGATTTAGCAATGTGTTTGTAAACCCTGTAAGTGCCATGCAGGACAGTAGTTGATGATTGGAGGTTGCACTTCATGGCGCTACGCTGTGTTCAGCCACACATACTTCACCTTTTTCACTGGATCTGCTTCCCAGAAACCTGCCTCAGAGCAGTGCCTGCTGCCATGTACCTGCTGTACAGCTGCACTGGACAGAAATTGGTAATAGACCTAAGAAGAAAACAGGACTATATTCCAAAAGACTGGTGTAGCCATTCTTCCTCAAGAGTTACTTCGGCCATGATGGATTAAGGCTCTTGGTGTCTTCATTGTGGCAGATTCGTTAGACTGCATTCCAGCAGAGTTGCAACAAGCTGCACAGGAAGATTCCTGTCCAAATGTCAGGCCCCACCTCTTTTTCCGTTTAAAACAAAATAAGATGAAGAGGAATAAAAGTGACAAAGCAGGGACACACGATCTGTAGTTTGTTCCCTTAAGAAGCCAGATGAGCAAACAGATTGATCCAAACACTTGAGTAAATTGAGCAGAAAGCTATTGTTTGTCAGGGTTAGGGTCTGTGACTCCTGAGTTGTCGCGTATGTGGGGGTGGGGGTGGGGGAGAGGCTAGACGAGGTGCTGTAGGAAGGAGTTTGCGTATGCTGGGAATGTCTGTCATGTCTGCACAGGCCCTCTCTCCTCAGTACCCGTCCTCCACGGTCGGTTCTGTAGCTACAGCCGCAGGGAGAACCTCCACCTAACACGGCCCTCAATGACTGTCAGTTTTTTTACATTCTGTGTCTTAAAAATTCTTTTCAGAAGTGCACAGCTCAGGGTTTGCTAGACACACCCGCGAGGATCACGCTCTTGGTGACTGCGCTGAAAATGCGTCAGAAAACAGTGGCCCGGCGTGGCCGGCAGTGTGGAACCGGCATCCCCGGGGTGTGTCCCCAGGGTGCGTCCCCAGGGTGCGTTCCTGGGGTGCGCTCCGTCTGAGGAGCTCAGCAGAAAGGCAGGCTGCGGACTCGGGCTTTGGTTTGGCCTTTTAAGGTGTGTGTGTTTTTCTGTAGTTTTAGGCATAACATTGTGAACATTCTCAAAACAATGAATTCACCATGGAGTGGCATATTCCTTTGTGTTACCTTAATTACGTATTTTTTAATTACAAACAAAACTAAGGCATTACTAAATATTTTATAGTGGTGCTTTGTTTTGTTAACAGGAGCGTATTGGGGGGTGTTTATTAAGAGGTGACCTTCTGTAGAGAATCCAGTGGTGAGAACCAGCTTGTTCATTAGCCAGCAGCAACAGCTCATGGTAGATTTACTTACACAAAAATGTTCTGAGGGCAGAAAGAAAAATGATTGGTCCAGAGAGATAATCAATGGGATTATTGAGTAGGTGGGTCCAAGCAACTAGAGGAGGTGGGACCAACCAATTAGATGCCTTGGACCCACCTCATCAACAATCCGATTGGTTCAGAGAGATAATGAATCATTTTTCGTTCCGGCCTCAGAACAATTTTGTGTAAGTAGAACTCCCATGAGCGCAGCAAGAACAAGAGCAAACTTGGATAGTAGCTAGCTATTAAGAATGAACCTCCCCCCGGAGGTGACATGAGGGTCTCCCTCAGAGTGAGCCCCC